AAACCATTTCCATACTTGTCCATCTATCCCAAATCGTTTGAACATTCTTTGTAATAAAATTTCGTGATCAACAGTATCGAATGCTGCTGACATATCTAGTAGTAACAATACAACACACTTATGATTATCAATAGCCACAAGAATATCGTTTTGCACTTTTAATAGGTCTGTTTCCACGCTATGAAAACGTTTATATGCCGACTGGAAAGGTTCTTCTAGGTTGTTATTAGCCAAATGTTCCAGAAGCTGACCGGCGGCGGCCTTCTCAATTACTTTAGACAGGAGTTTTAAATTTGAAATAGGTCTAAAATTTGTGTATTCTTCGTATTCCAACGAATCTTTCTTTAGTTTTGGTTTCAACACGGCTTCTTTTAGTTTTCCAGGCATACAACCTGACTGAAGTGACTCATTACTGATCTTAGTAATTATAGGTAAGAGAGTCTTCTGACAACTTTGAAAGATTTTTGCGGGAACTGGATCAAGTTCACAAGATTTTTTTCCAACTATATCAATAATATTTTTAATTTCATGTTCCGTGACTTCTTGAAAGTTAATGAATTTAGCGCATTGTACATATTGCTCCTCTTGATTTAGCTGATTACAGTGGGAAGAATCAATGACTAGTTCTTGCCGTATAGTAGTAATCTTATTACTGAAGAAATCTGCAAATTTATTCACGAGTTCTGTGGTTGATGACACAGTTGGATAGCGCTTTTCTGACTTTCGATGGAGTAATTTATCAACCGTACTAAATAACACTTTCTGATTATGTGCATTGCTAGAAATAACCGATGAATAGTATGTTGTCTTAGCATTCTTTATCATGGCATTCACTGTCTCACATTGTTTAACATATAACTGTCTGTCAATACATAATCCAGATGCGCGCCAGCGGCGCTCTAATTTCCTGCGATTTCTTTTTTCTTGACCAATCTCTTCATTGTACCATGGTGATAGAGGACGGAGAGTTATAATTCGTCGTTTTTGTGGGGCATGTTGCTGTAATGTTTCTTTCAGCGTATTTTCATATTTATCAATAAGGACTGGGAGATCATAATCATCATCTAAATCTAGCACTTTTAGATCTTCATTGAAACTATTCATGTTTACATTGTTTAATTTTCGATAGTAAATTTCAGCTTGCTCCAATGGTGGTTTCTCTAATTTTAATGTACAATGTATGGCAAGATGATCCGATATTACTGGATCATATGTTCTGATACCCGTAACTAATTTATCTTCATTCCTTGTTATAATCAAATCTAAAGTGTGGCCTTTCGTGTGGGTTGGCCCATTGACGTGCTGTTGTAAATTAAACGATTCCAGTATCCTGTTGAGTTTAGTAGTATCTGGATCTGTAATGTTATCTACATGGAAATTAAAGTCTCCTGCTATTAATATATTGCCAGGTAATATGATCAACTGTTCTACAAGTATGCAGAATTCTTCAAAAAATACTGAACTGCTTAGTTTGTTAGTCTTCGATGGCGGTGGTCTATAAATGACAATCGTTCTGGTGCAAGTGTTACGGTAGTTCAGGATGACATCAATATATTCAAAAGAAGAGAATTTTCTCTGGGATTGTTTTTTGGCTTTAATATATTTCTTCAGTAAGAGACCAACTCCTCCACCTCGTGCATTTTTCCTTGTAACGTGGTAAAAGTGATACCCTGTTGGGCAGATTTCAGCAACAGAAAATTCGTTATCATCCTCACGTAACCATGTCTCAGTCATTGCCAGAATATCAATGTCGTTCTCAGAGACATAGTCATTAATAAAAAGTTCTTTCCTATTGATTGATCTGGTGTTCAACAGACAAAAGTTGATAGGCATAAAATAAGTCTTTTGTTCCTTTGTACAATTGACATAAATTAAATTATTAAAATTTACATATCGAGATTGTTTCGTATTCTTAGTATCTCGCTTGTTAACATCAACATTACGATAGGGCTTCAAGTTTAATTTATACATGCCGTAGTTCTGACAGGTATCTGTTTTGTTACCTCTGCATCCAAATTCTGGATATGGGTTTGGGGGTCTGGATATGGGTTTGGGGCTCTTGGTGGGTACGGGTGCTGAGACATCGGGAACAAGGGATGAAGCATTGGATGACGGAAGGGAGGAAAATAATAATTCGAATGGGGGAAAAAAGGAAAAAGGTTAAAGGAAATTGGTGCAGGCATGTTATCAGGACCCGGATAATGAGAAAAATCGCATCTATCATCCTTTAGACAGAATCCATTCTTCCGTAAAAAGAGACAGGGTATTCGGGACTTATCATGATGTTGTGGTTTAGCGTGGTTTCCTTGTTGGATTTTCGATCCACATACTGCAGGTAAAACATTTTTATGCAAAAAGTCACATCTGGGTCCTTTCAAACAGTGGCCTTTCCTTTTTAGGAAAGGGCACGGCACTAATGCTTTTTCCTTTTTACTTGTGTTAATACGATAGCCTCGGGGGGTTTGTTTGGGAGATGGAATTACACTGGTTCTTGAACTTGCAGTGAACGACCAAACTTTAAATATTCAGTATTATTATACAACTTTATATGGTATATGAACAACCAAATGGAGGTCCTAAATCTCAGTTTTATCAGTCTTATGCAGCTCAATAATGTCTTGAACGCTTTCTTCGTGATATTTTTGCCAGTATTAACGCGGGTAGGGGTAAAACGCGGAAACGGAACGGAACGGACTGGCGGAACCGGAAAAGCGAAAACGGAATAGAGGGTAAAACGCGGAAAAGAGGGTAAAACGAGGAAAAAAGGGTAAAACGCGGAAAAAAGTTTTAGAATAGTTTTTTCTTTACGAGGTAGGCATGTAGCTTGGTAAAACTATATTTATTTAAAAATTATACACACTAGTCCCTTCAACTATGATTTCCACGAAGGGCGTGTGTTATGTCATAAAAAAGCAACATACATTTACGATATTCTGATACTATTAACAACCCTGATAACTCAAATATTAACCTCAATTAACCTACATAACTACTGGGGTGTATGGGGAGGGGGGGGGGGCTAACACCCCAATTAAATAATAGTAAAAAAGGGAGCACAATTAACGTGCGGAGAAGGGGCCCTGGAATTGCGGAACGTGGTAAATATTAAGGACTTTTCTGCAAAATTGAAGTAAAAAATGGTATGAATAACTACATTTAAGCCCCCATTATGTAAAACTAGTGTATGTAAACCCCTTCCCTCCCCGCCCATTATGTAATTATCCATTATGTAACATGTTCCGGAAAAATTTAACGCTAACATTTTCCGGGAAAATGTATTCTATAAAAGCTATAATCTGAAATATAAAGTCCATTAGTAAGTTTTATACCCATCCATACCTCAGTGCAATTGTAAATGTTTTGACTTTGTATTTATCTGCTTATAAAAATGGTAAAATTTAGACATCTTATACATAGAATAATGTCCCAATAAACAAACTTATATCTTAATAAACAAAACAACAAGGTCCAAGTCCAAACAGTCAACTGGTGCTGTGATTATGTACAATTAAATTATTATACCAAACTCTGTTAGAAAATGTTTATGCACAGGAGTTAAATGTGCTCTATCTGAGTCGGGTATTGTCACCATTTGTGGACTGAAATAGGGCTGCTTCATTTTAATACAGCGGAGATTTACGTGAAAGTACACATTCTGGAAACTCTGGCGTCTCTCTCCTGTACTTATCTGGCCATTCCCTATTCATCTTCGTCACTAATACTAGATCGTACGGCTTTATGGCAATTGCCCTAAAAAGCAACTTTGCTTCCTTAATTTATTAAGAAATCGGTCTTTAGCAATTGACGATTCGCCTTTAAGCTTTTTAACAACAACTGCATGCCTCCTTTTCATAAATTGCGCGGTGTATAGATCCATAGTACCACTGCCAATTTCCTCCACGTTTCTTAATGAATTCCAGCTAAATGTTGGCAAACCATGTTCGATTCGTCTTTTCTTAATGAGCGATGGAACTTTAAAGCTTCCCAGTTTCGACATTTTAGTTGACAATTAGGCACGAGCACGTGCCCGACTTTTTTATTCAGGATTCAAACCATGAATTTCGTTCGTTTAGACTTCAGACACTTACACAATAGATAGTGTTCCGTTTCCGCGTTTTACCCCTACCCGTATTAACGCATCAATGGAGACTCGACCAATGTCATTGAGAGAAACGTCGACGCTTTAAACTCATTACTTGCCACAGTTGGGCAGCTTTTTCGTGCGTTCTACTACCTGCTTGCCTTAACAGCAAGAGCTGTATAGGTATAACAGTTATAGTATAACACTATCCCGAACTGGACCATTTCGTCTATATTGTTCATTAATTTATTAATCAATGTGTCTGACTCGTTTCGGACTCATGCTTCAGCTTTTAGTTCTTAACAATGCTATATGCGTATTATAATATTGCAATGGTATCAATTTTTTTAGTACTACAAATATATTAACCACATGCACGTCTTGACTTAACTTTATATTTTTATTCCCTTCGGGCTTTTCAATTTGTAAAAAATGTCATGACTCATGATCATGCAAATTAACTCTTGTTTATAAATTACATATTCGTTCGCTCTCGTCTCTACTCGTCCGATGCGTACGAGATTAATTATGCAATCCAATCAGATTTCAGCTTTTGATCAAAAGACATTTGCATACCTGCATATTCGTTCGTTCTCGTGCTATGGTGCAGGTTAACTATTAAACCCAAGAATTCCGCACGGCTAATTATACCCAGGTATGTGAAAACATACCAAATGTTGTCCTCCCTTTTGTTTATGTCATGGACGGTTTTCGACGTTATGTGCATGCGCGAGCACAAGTTCTGGCTAAATAATTACTCGCTGGGGCACCTGTGCCCATGCCCAGGTGAATATAGGTTTCGGCACACATGGTGGATGTGAGATGTCGGATTTCCGATCGTCGTTGATAGCCACAAAAAAGAATACTAATGAGCTGCCAATTTTTACCCAAATTATCCATAAGGCTCCTGCCAGTTTTTACCCAAATTATCCATAAATAAACCTAGGTTTTGAGAAAAATCAAGAATTTACTAGAAAAGCCAAAGCTGCTGTTTATTTTAACCAGTATGAATATGTTTACGTTCTTTAAAACTGCTTTGTTACGGCATTGAGGATTCAATGACAAGAATAATGAATTTGGAGATGTATTAATGCCAAATGAATCCTGTTAAGCAGTCAGAATGATAGCCCGACAAAGACAGAGATACAAAGACAAACAATTCAATTGTATGAAATATAAACTCGATATGAACTCGAACGGTCTGTGCCAGCCATAGGCGTACGGGAAGGAAAAAATTAGAGGGGCAGAAAGAAATTTGCCCGACTTTTTCGAATTGTGCCCGACCAGTGCCCGAAAAATTTTTTTCCGAAACAATAAATTTTGGCGATCCCCCCCCCCCGTCGCCAAACATTACAACATCAAACAAATTTTCCCAAACATCACAAAATTTACATAATTTCCCGCAAAATTGGCAGAATTTATCCCACTTTATTTTTATAAACCCAATATTGCCCGACTGTGAAGCGAATATTGCTCAACTGGCTTGGTTTGCCCAACAAACTGGGGTTATTATTACGAGAGATTTTATTGCTTTGACTACTTTTCCCCCTTTTTTAGCTTAATTAAAAGTGCTTTCCTTCCTGACCTGTTTACCACAAACAGAATTGAAATTGGTCAATTCAAACCGATTTTATAGCCTTCCAAAGTGGCCATTTTTGGCACTTCCTGTGCGAACTTTTGATCGGCCATTTTGATGCCATGTGACGTCATAAGATGAACACTAAGATGAACACGATTTCATCTTGGCGTATTAAAATTATAGTAAAACCAACAAACGCGGAGACGAAGGCCGTGTTTCTGGCAGTTCTAACTTAGATTATTGCACGAATTCTGAACAGCCTGAAGGAATACCCATGCATCTATTTCCCAACAAAGAAACAGATCAACAGAGTGAAAGAAAGTTAGTGAATTTTATCCGTAAACATTGACCGCGGGTTTTCGCGCATCTGCGAACTTAGTGTTTTGATTGAGCCCGTTTTGAAGATTCGTGCTATATCTTATTTTCATTGATAAAACCTCGTAAAATGGAAAGAATACTGAAGGAAGAAACTGTTTATACAATTTACATTGCTAGAATTATTCCCCTGGCTAAAGTATAACTAACAGACGCAAGGCAAATAATTGAGGTATATAGTGAAGTACAAATTATTAATATGTTCGCACACATGGTGAATATTTTGCGCAAATGATACTATATACAGTAGTTAGTCTAAAGTGTACATTTCTTATTACGAGATTGAAATAAAGACAACAATTCAGCAGGCCTGGACCTAGTTCAGTCATATCAATGATACATATTGCATAGTATAAAGTAACAAATATAATATTATAATACGATAGTATAATATTGTACTGGTACGCTATTATGTGAGAAATATATTTGCGCACAAAACATGAGGGATGCAACTTAACTGGTTACTTTGAAGATTAATATAATTTCAAAATATTACAGTAAATGTGATATTGCACAATGCACAGTTGTACAATTTTGACTCAATGGTTAACTGACTCAGTCACAATCTGCCTAATCCAACTAAAGTCGACCGCTTTTCTGCTCAAACGTAAGGCAGCTGTGTCTTTGTTGTTGGAAATGATTTTCTTCTGTTTTCCCATCCAAGTAAAACTAGCCATCAATTGAAACACAGCCCATAATTGCCAATTACACCTATCGCTATCTATTAAAAACAAAATCAAAATCATTTTGAGTATTGCGAATTATTAGGCTATGAATATGCTTGTGTTTATAAACGTTATTATATTTTTTGTCACGCACAATCCAGTTTATAATATATTAAGTTGCACACACCAGATGTGTTTAAACAATCAGACACAATACCGAGGCGAGCACAATACAATATAAATATGCATGCAATAAAAGGATCTACTTACCACTAATTTTACAGG